AGAGCTTTGCAAATTCCCTGGCCTGACAGAGAGATGCGCAGGGGGTCCTAGACCAGCTCAAGCCAGAGCTTTCCCTGGAAGCAAGAATGCCAAGGCTGAGGCTCTGCACTTCGGGCACATCATGAGAAGGCCGGGCGCCCCAGGGAAGCGGGCGGCAGAAGCAGAGGAGCAAGGCCAAGCAGGAGATGGAGGGCCTCCTTCAAGGGGGCCGCGGCCTGGAATTCCGAGCTTGGCTGCCATGCGGGGCTTCCAGGGGTCAGAGATGACTGGACAGCACACAACAACCACAGCAACAGCAACACACACAGGGGGAGGCAGAGGGCCTTTGCCTGCTTCCCCCCAACTCTCTGCCCCACTGCCGTGGCGAAGTGGGGCATCCACGGCCCCAGTGGAACCCTTCCGGTCCAGCGGAAGGAGGGGTCTTCCAGTGGCCCCTGGGGCTGTCCTGGGCCCTCCGCACGACACGCTTCTGGCAGCGCAGAGCGTGGTTGAGGTCAGTGGCGATGGTGCCACAGGCGATCCTGAATCCGGAGCAGCGCTTATCCCCCGAGAGCTCAGAGAGCGGAGAGAGGCCCACAGGCAGCCAGGACTGGAGCCACGAATCAAGGGCCCCGTGATTCACCGCAGCACGAAGGAAATCGCTTCCATTCACTCAGACGCACACGCACGTCCATCCCTTCATACTCACCAGGAAAGCTGACCAGGCTCCGACGGAGTGGTGGGTGGCACGGACGTGGCAGCGCTGGCGAGTCTCCACAATGGACCTTGCAAAGCCCCGGCTTTCTCTGCCTCCCCTGAGCTCTTTGTTCGAACTCTTCGTTCCGTAGGGTAGAACTCAGGCGCTTCATCCGCTTCCCTGCTTCACTGCCCCAGAAATGCTCCCATCACCTGATTTCTTTACATCTCTCCTTATAAGGCATCCTTCGGATGCTGCCAAGAGTCATGGCCTCTCCGCTCCGTCAGCTTTTCCCCGCTTTTCACCTGAGAACTCAGAGTCCAATTTATTCCCATACTGCTCCTCACCAGTCTTCATGTTCTCCCCGTTTCTTCACCTAACGCAGGCCCACGCATTCATCCATTCACGCCTTGCTGTCGCCCTTCAGATAAGAACACGAAGGGAGCCATGCCGGGTCTTTCCAAAAGCCTCTCTAGCCCAAATCCTGCCTGGAGGGGGCCAACCAGAAGCCCCCCGGGACTCCGCAAGCAGGGGTGGCAGGCGGCTGTACTGCCCATGCACGTGGTGCCCACCCTGGACTTTGCTGGGAGCGTCCTCTTCCTCAGCATTGCCGGCACCGACTGCTTGGCTGGTGGACGGAGAGCCCAGGAGGGGCTGGGCAGGGGCGCCCGCTGCTCCTCCGCCTCACCATCGCCCGTGCCCGGCCCAGGGCGAGGAGGCATGTCGCAGCAACGCTGTGCAGGGAAGCGGCCCCCCAGCGACGGCTGTCCGAAGGCCGCTGCTGAGCTGCGGGCTCTTCTCAGGGGCCCAGCCATGCCCGCCCTCAAGCCCCGCTCTGCCCCGAAACGTAACGTGACCTCCCTGCAGTCTGTTCCACTGTGGGCCGGAGACGCGCCCCGCAGGACCACCTCTAACGGACCCTTCTTCCGCTCCCTGGGAAAGGCTTGGTCCCGCGTGGCCCGTGCCCACCCGCAGGCCCAGCTCAGGGCAGCAAGGATCAGTGGGGGACCCCGAAGTGCCTGCAGCCCATAAAGCGCCCCGTAGAGCTTCAGGTCGCGTTGGGCCCAAGCGCCGTTTTCCCTGCTCCCCATGGACGGTGGCCGGCAGGGGCCCAGCCACCAAAGCGTGGGAGAGGCCAGCAAAGCCGCCACCAGCAGCTTCCCTCTGCCAGAAAACCCTAAACCGGTTCTGGTTCAGCTCCTGTGTTTGGATTTGGAAACTGCTTCTCAGACTGATCAATATTTATTTATTCAGGAGGATGCCATTCACAAATATTTGGTTATTATTCGCAGAGGGAGCAAGTACTGAGGCCATTTTCCTTCCTTAGTGGGATATATAAAAGCAACTCCCAGTTGCATGAGCTACGCAGAAGGAAAAGGGACACCTGTCAGCCTTCGACGCAGTCCAGGTAAGAATGGCCTGGCGTGCAGGTACCGTACTTGATTCCCTCTCCATAATGGAGCAAAGCTTCCCATTTTTTAAGACAGGGGTGATGGACGGAGAACGCCGCTTCCTTTCTAGCAGACACTGCTAATAAACATTTACATCTTTTGACTCTGGGGAAAAGTGATTTAGCCCCCAAATGACGATATTGGCTTCACTATTTGGAATACGGAGATTCTCATTTTGTATTTTTAGCAATTGTTTCTCCTCTCCTCTCCTCTCCTCTCCTCGCCTGCCCTATTTTATTTTTCTCCTATTTGCTTGTACACTGCCTTTAAGTTTCATTGCATCTTTCCGGATGGAGCAAAGAACAAAAGCCTAACATAAAGACATAGAAGTACAGAAATAAATGGGGCTCTGAAATCCAGAGAAAGAAGGCATCACAGGCTGAATTTCCATGATGCAAATTGGTTGATGGGTGAAGCTGTAGTTTATAATGTAAATTCTGCTTCAGAGGCCTGAGCAAGTGAGAGTTTGTGGCTTAAACACTCAGCCATGAAGAACCCCTGGGACAATTCTTATTCATTTGAAATTTGGCTACATGCTCTAGATTTCCACCTGCAGTTCTATTATTTTCACATTTTAAATTTGAATGCCGAGAGTCAGATTTTTCAAAATCATGCTAAATCTTTACTGCCTTTCTTAGTATTTATTTGCACACTATTATGGTAAATCATTTTTCAGGCAGTGCCTTTTGAGCTCCCTAAATCTGGTTAATTATCTAGCCTTAGTTCTAGTGCTGATATCCTAACCAGGAGCATATAGACTTGACTTTTTCAGGAAGAATATTCAGAGCAGAAAAATGCCCCCCCCCCCGGCACCCCACCGCCTGGGTCCCCTGGGTTTCTCCAGCAGTTGCTTCTACCACGAGGCCGTACAACTGATGGCTCAGGACAACTAAGGCCATGGGGCTCCTCCATCACGGCGCTGGACCGGGGCCTTGTCCAGCACTTCTGCTCGACTGAAAGGACAGGACCCAGGGCTGCGCCCCAGAGGACACCGCGTGCCCCCCGTGGCCCCTGCGCAACGTGGTGCATTACACCAAGCCAGTCCGGGATGAAATGAATGGGGTTCCACTCATTCCATCCCCGGGGGGATGGTGGCTTTTGTACGCCAGATCAGGAATGGCTGGGAAAGGCCAGGGGGGCGCTTCAGAATGCCAGTTTATCAAGTTTGCAGCTCCCAAATGCCGGTACAAATCAGGAAGCGTGGAGGCATCACAATTTGCACTTCCTGAATGTTGCGACAACATGCACAGATTTAAAACATGTGCACAAACACTGAAGTAAGGGAGAAACACATACAAAAATGCATATAATAGGATTCCTACATTCTGTCTCAGGGGAATCACATTATATGAGGAGACATCACTAAAATGTGCATTTAGAAAAATGCATTCAAAAATCAAAATTCAGGCAGAACTTTGTAAAACAAATAGCAAACTGATACTAAAAGGCCCAGAAAGTTACCCTTGCCTTGTTAAAACTGCCCAGAGAACTTTGGCTGTGGGGCAGTATAGAGATGATGAAGATGACGATGATGATGGACAAAATGAAGTTAATGTAGGAAAAAGAAGAAAATGAGCGAAATCAATCACGGCAGATTCGTTCCCCTCCCTAGATACCAATTCAGGGATTCTGCAGAGCGGAATGACCTGGAATTATTGAGGAGAGGTTTTTATTCTTCATATGGTCTGCATAAATGTTAGAAGGATATCAGCGTAGTAAGAGCCTAAATGAATAAAGGTCCCTCTTAGTGGGACTAGTGGACCCGGGAAAGCGCTTGGAACCGGAAGCGCGGCAGGAGCCAAGGAGCGGCTCCCAGTGCCCCCCCGCCCCCCGCGCTGCCTGATCGTTTTCAAAACCAGCCCTGCAAAGCCCAGGCCGCACGGGGCGCGAAGGGAGGGGGAGCCGGGACGGCCCTCGTGAGGTGACCTGCCTCGCCGGCCGCGCTGCCCGCTCCGTTTCTCTGTGTCCGAAGCCCATGGCCTCCTTCTGTGCCCCCTCTTCTAGCACGGACAGTCCCTCCTCCACAGGCCCGGCAGCCAAGATGCATCCCCTTTTCGTCCTTGCCATGCTCTGGGGCATCTCCGTGGCCCACAGTGCCCAAGGAAATGCCAACCCGCTCGCCGTCGTGAGCTGCAGCCCAGAATTTTTCCAGCGCGGTAAGTCGACAGCGGGGTCCCCTGCCACAGGAGCCGGGGGGCAGCTGGGCTCGGCGGGGGGCGTCCTGCCCGTGACTTGCCCACTGTGCTTCTCCGCATCGCCCCAGAAGGGCTGGTCGCTGTGCCTCCAGCCCGGGTCCGCCAGCAGCTTCCGCACCTTAAGGAAGAGCTGCAGCAGAGGCATCCAAGCTGCCTTTGCCCTAAGGAGGAAGGCGCCCCCCCCGCCACGGCACGGCACGCCACGCCTGGCCACAGCCCCGGTTCCTTGCCTGCCTCTCCCACGCATCTGAAATTGTGCGGATTTGCCTGGCGGCGAATTGGCTTTCTCACCCTGTGCGCCTGCGCCCTGCCAAGGAGACAATCGGCATCCAGCCAGTGCTGGGCAGCTCCTTCCTCGGGCCCTTCCTCCGCTGGATCTGCCAGTCCTGGAGACTCCAGGCGGGCAGGGCTGGGGGGGCCCAGCAAGGCCGGGCATCCCTGCAGGGGCCACTGACGGGCCTCGCCGGGCTCAGGGGTCGGGAAGGATGCGTTCCATCCCTGCCTGCAGATGCCAGGAAGGAACCGGGTCCTTCAAGGCGGGGGCTCCGCTGCCGAGCCGCAGTGGCGCCCCGGCTCAACCCTCGCCCCGCGTGCCCCTGGCCCCCGCCCTCGGCAGACTCTAACCTGGTCCTTGGCCTGGACTGCAGTGGTCTCCAAGCGGATGGACGCCCAGATTTGGAAGCAGCACCTCCAAAAGCTGCCCCTCCATGAAACCTTGAAAGGCAGCATCAAGCCAGGCGGCCTGCTCGGGGGGATCCCCATCGTCGGAGGCCTCGTGAACAGCCTGCTGGACAGCATCTTGGGGTGAGCCCAGCCGTGTGGGGCACCGGCCTTCCCCTGGGAGGAGCTCTCAAGAAGCGCGGCCCACTGGGGGGAGGAACGGGGTGCCTTCTGGCGGAGCCTCATGGGGCACGTGCTCCTGCTCCCCCCACCCCCATTAATCACAAAGGAACGGGTGCCCTCGTGCCTATGAAGCCGTGGGGGGGAGCCTGTGGCGCCCTTGGGGTGCAGCTCCCATCCGCCGGGCTGCCAGAGAAGACTCGTGGGCTGCCGGCAGAGCGACATGTCCCCCGCCCGGCCACCCACCCGTGCGCATGGCCAGGGCCAGGCTGCTGGGCCGGAGTCTCGGCTGAGAAGGACTCAGGGGCAGAGCTGGGGCCGATCGGAGGGGAGGAGAAGAGGGGGGGCAGCGGCGTGCCGAAGGCACCCCATGGGAGGCCCCCGGCAGGCAGCAGGAGCAGTCCAGAGGGACGGGCAGGGCCGAGCACAGGGGCTGCAGAAGGAAGGGGGGGCCGGGGAGCATGAGGCGCCGTGCTGGTTGGCAGGGGCCCGAGGCTCCACCAGACGTGGCACAAGGCCCAGGCGCACTCTGAGGAGGCGCATCCTGTGGCCAGAGAAGCGGGGGAGTTGGATGCCTGGGGTGGCGGAGTCCTGGAGTTGAGGGGCCGGAGCGACCGAGGCAGCTGGGAAGGCGGCGGAAGTCGGCACAGCCCAGACAGGCCGGGCCGGGACACGAGGCTGAACACTGGCCGAGGATGCGGGGAAGGGGCGGGAAGGGGCTGGGAGGGGGCGTGAGCGGAGCAGCATCCTGCATTGGCGGAGGAAGACTGAGTGGGGGGGGGGGAATCCTGTTCTCTACTGAGTCTCCACTGGGCCTCTCCACCCTCTACAGCTCCATAAAACCCAGCCCTGGCCGTGCGCGGTTGGGGGAAGGATGGTGCCGCTCTTGACATCGGGTTTCTCTTCTTCTTGAGCAGAGTGAGAATCAAGAATGTGGAGCTCCTCAAGCTTGACATCCAGTTTGATGAAAGAGAGAAACATATTTTCATAACGATCCCGGCGGACCTGGAGGTGGAGATACACCTGTGAGTACCTTGCCGTGTTTCCTTTGAAGGGCGACCTGGGGGAATGGAAGTTCCCAGGGTTCAAAGAAGGGCAGAAGTGGAGCATCCCAGCGAGATCCAAACGGGGCCCGTGGGCCCATGCGTGCGCACTCCTGGATGCGTGCGGAGAGGAGGTGGTGCGGCGAGACCTTCCGTGGCATCCTGTGCGATCCTGGAGCTGCGCACTCAGTGGTGGCGCTAACAGGGGATGCCAGAGGGCCGGGCCAGTAGCGGCCCAGTGGGAATGGATCGGCTGCGACCACACAGCAGCACTCGCAGCCCCACCCGGCCGCCACGGTTCGTGGTCTTTCCCATGCTCTACCCGGCAGACCATCCAGCGATTTCCACACTGCCGTGGCTTCCCCCCTCCCTGCTCAGCGGTCACTTTGGCCGAAGAGTGAGATGTTGGGGGAAAGGCTTGCGTCCTCCATGGCACCTTAAGGGGAGCCGAAACTGCGTGAGCCTTGCGTTGGCTCTTGGTCACACGGACGATGCCTCTGCGGGCTCCCAGGCAAAGGGCGGGGGTTGCCCCGTGCGGAGCGCTGGAGGGGCCGAAAGGGATGGTCCGCGGCACAGGAGGGCCTCTAGCAAGGAAGTCCTTCTGCGAGGGGAGGGGCACGCGCAAAGCCGGAGTCCGAAGGAGGGTGGCGTCCCTAAAGCATGCAGAAATATTCCTTCATGCGCCTCTCTTTCCCCTTTTAGGCCACTCCACTTGGGCCGGCTTCTTCGCATCAAATTGTTCCTGGATGTCCAGGTTGGAGTCCAGCTATTCACTGACCCAAGCACTGGTTACACCAGACTGGTGCTTGGAAATTGCCGAAACAACCCCGGTCATGTGAGAGTCACCGTCCTCGACAAGTGAGTACGGTGCTTTCCCCGTCGCCCAGCCGGCCCAGCCCTTCCTCGCTGGCTCTGTGCTCAGGTGGCCGGCCATGTGCCCCTCTCGGTGACAAAGCCCACCGCTGCCTTGATGACATGGAGATATCACGCCTGAAAGCCAGAACTGAAACTGGAAAGGCACTGATAAGGCAGCACGGTTCTACAGGATATGAATCCCACACTACCAACAAAATATATCAGGGAACAGGGGCACATAAAGATAGACTAACTGCAGAGCTAGTTTAGAAACATATTCATTCATTTTATTTATTTATTTATTTAGAGTTTTTGTACGCCGTCCCATCGCTTATAATCTCAGGATGGCTCACATAAATAAACAAACATGATACAAAATAATACAAAATATAAAATAATACAAAATACAATTAAAATCCGGAAACACAGAAACAGAGCGAGCCAAAAGGGGTCTCCCAGGCCATCTAGTCTGACCCCCGGCTCTGCTCACGACATGCCCACCATGTGCATGTCCAGCCTGTCCTTGAACACCCTCACCAATGGGGCCTCAACCACCTCCCGAGGAAGCCCATTCCATGCCCTGGGGGTCCTGACCATCAGGATATTTTAAAATATCTTTCGTGCTAAAAGTTTTGGCTTCCACCTTCCTCAACATGCCAGCGTGCTAAAGCTATACTAAAAGTGCCAGTATTAGGTAAGTTCAGAACATAAGAAGGGCCCTGCTGGATCAGGCCCTGGGTCTGAGCAGCCCGGCATTCTGCACACACGGTGGCAGACCAGCTGCCCGCAGGATCCCTCCAGCCGGACGGGTGCAAGGCCTCCTCCTGCCCAAGCCCGGAGCAGCAGGTACATGCAGGCAGGCTGCTTCTGGTGGAGGGCACATGGCCAGCAAGGCTGGGAGCCACGGACACCCTCCTCCCTCGTGGATCTGCCCCACCCGTTGTCCCAGCCGCTCCTCACAGGGGAGCCTCCCCAGGCCCCCGGCCCTTCTCTTTGCCCTCCTCTGCTGTTCCTCCCACTCTCAGGCAGGGCAACCAGAATGGACACAGTATCTTGTATAACAGGATGGCATACAAAGCTTTTAAGAAAGTAATCAATGCTAAATATTCCACACCAGAAACTGGTATAAGGAGAGGTGCATTTGAGCAGTCCCCCCTCCCCAATTTCCAATTTCTGCACTGGCATTTCCATCGAGGGGTCCCCAGGACCTCTGCCCCTCGCCAGCTCCAGAGTCCAGCTGCACCATTCTGCTCCTGGACCAGTTCCACTAGCGCCATAACACTGAAAACAAATTCTTTCCTAGGCCCCTTTTAATCCTTCGGGGCTGGGCATCAGCACATGCGACAACCAAGCCAGAGTGCCTGCTGTTCTTTTAAAAAGCTATAATTTAGAAAGGAATGACTGGCCTGTTGCTGCATCGCTGCAGCCAGATTTCTCTTGCCCTGATTCCAGCACTCACGGCGTTTTTGTCCCATTAGACTCTGGCGGCAAAAGTTTTCAAAAGCTGTGACCTGAGCCCGCATCTGCAAGCTGAAGCCCAGCGCGTCTGGCTTTGCAGTGGGGCCACGCCAGATGTGGCTCTCCTCCAACCGTCTCCCTTTGTTCCAGCTCTCGACCCCTGGCCCAAGCCGTCAATAACCTTCTGCGAACGATAACGAATGTTCTGGAGAAGACGATCCCCCATCTCCTGCAGAAAGAGGTGACCATGCTGGCGTGCGGCTCGCTCGCCCGGCTTGTCCCGCAGGAGGCTGCTCGGCAAGGCGGCCCAGCTGGGTCAGGCCAGAGCCCAAGGCCGCTCCGCGTGAGGCCAGGCTGGCTCTTCCACGAAGTCTCGGGCCTGGGCTTCCTGCCATGGCTCTGGTGCTCCTCGCAGCCGTGGACCAGCTCGCACTGTGCCCGGCTCCTTCCGAGGACAGCTGCCTGCCTCGGCCGCCCTTCCTCTCGCCTGGAACTCTGGGCAGCGGCTAAGGCCAGTCCCGTTTAGGGAAGTCTCGTTGAAACGAGCTGGGCTAAAGTTAGCCAGATTCTGAAAGCAGCCCTCTGCGAGGAAAGGTGGCAGAAAATAGATCAATCAATGACTACATAAAGGAAGGGCATGGACTTTCCTGCCACTTTGACTCTGCCTCTCTCAGCCTTTCTGGACACGCTGCCAGGTGCACCGATGAGAATCATTCCCCAGTTTTGACCGCATTTCTGACCTCGTTTCTGCTGCCTGACCCTTGCAGGCTCTGATGGGTGGCGGAAGCAGAGACAACCTGCTCTTGGCTTTTCTGTTTCCAAAGGGAAATTCACTTTCCCAGCTTCTGGGCCCCCGTTTTGCACACCCCGGAGTCCGCTTGCCCCATTCATGATCAGTTCCGTGAGCAGGACTGCCACCTGACGCCTGCTCACCTGAAGTCGGCTCATTCAGCCCAAGGGGCTTCCTTCTGGAGATGAGCCCGGCGTTGCACTGCCAGTCTGCCAAACTCTTCCTGCAGTGGCGCCTTCCATCCCGCCCGGCAGAAACATTCTCGCCCTCCGGGGTCTTTCTTAGCTTGCCAAAACATCTGGGTGAACTCGGCTACTCGCCCTGCTGTCCATTTCTGACTGGCCCCCGCTAATGCTGCAGCGATGGTGTCACCCAGGCTGACCGTGGTCCTCGGGCCCGCTGAATTCCTTCGGGGATGGCCAAAACTTGTTTCTTTTTCAGCTCTGCCCACTTGCAAATGGGGTCATACAGAGCGTGCTGGACGTGTTTCAAGGTGAGCTCTGCCTGCCAGCGCGCACCTCCTTCCGCTTGTCTCCCTTCCCCTTCCCCTGGAGTTCCACCCACGGAAAGTGTCCCGGGAAGCTTTGGGTGCAACCCCAACATCTCCTGGGGCCGCAGGAATATTTGTCCCGTGGCTCTGCGGTCCTCCTCTGAGCCCAGGGCCAATGTGCATCCGAGCATCACCCAGGGATGGACGAGGGCTCGAATGCCACGCCGGCGTGGTCCCAGCCGGCTCGAGGCGGCTCTCCGGTTGCGTCCTCGCAGCGGCTCATGGGTCACCTGGCTAAAGAGAGCAGTTGGCACCAGGTCACCTAGAGCGACTCGTGCGTGGCTCAGCAAGGGTCCGAGTGGGCGCCTCCCCAGTCTAGCACCTGGTGCTCCTGACAGGCCCTGTTCTTAATCTGCTGTTCATACATTATGAGCCACGCTGAGCCCTTGGAATGGCTTCACCGAGATCTGGAATGTCTAATTAATACAGAAATAAAAACTGTGTTTTGATCACTCCCTCGCTCCACTGGGAGAAGCTGTGGCCCGCAAACCCAGCGAACTTCCTCGGGCTTTCACTGAGAGGCAGCGCAAAAGAGTATCGAACACAGAAAGCAGCAACAGGAAATGTGCATTCAAGCAGGAAGAGCAGAATTGCCCCCTTTCCTGCCAATGGCTGTTCTCTGTAACTGTCAGCATTTCTCTCCTCCGCCTTTTAAGTTTGTTTCATAACCCTCCATCATGGCACAATGTTAGTCCCACGCTAGTCTCACTGGAAGTAGAGAAATTGAAATGATGGAATTTAAGTAAGTCCCAACTGAACTAGATGTCGTTTATTTGGGTGGGTTTCCTCTAAGTGGGACTAACTGGGTAGCCCCGAATGGGAGCGAGACTTTGGGGAGGCCCCGGGCCCCCGCTTCCCCGCAGGATGTGTCCGTCACTGGAAGATGCTTTCCTTCTCCCCCAGGTGCAGTCTCGTCTGAAGCTCATGGAGAAACCATCTGCCTTTCTTCCAGCTCCTTTTCTATTCAGGAAGGAGTCATGGTACTGGGTTACCAGGTAAGTCTCCCAGTGGGAGACCTCTTGTGGGGCCAGCCCCACAGACGCTCTGGGCCCTTTGCTCTGGTGTCCACATCGCTTCCTTTGCCATGACGCGGAAGGCAGTTCCCCTTCGGGGGCTGTGCCTGGGTCGTGAAAACGCCTGTGCACGTGTGTCTGGCCTCAGTCGCACACACGAGACCCACTCTGGCTGCTTCCTCACTTTCGTGGGCCCCTTCCCACCAGCAGGACCCCCAGTCTCTGCCCTTTACATGCCAACGGTCTTTGTTAAACTCCTGGAATACTGATCGACCTTCCGAACCGCCTCGGCAGCTGAGCTAACAGTTAAAGAGGATTCGTGTCTTCAGAGCTCACTCAGCCAACACCTGCGGGGGCCTTTAGGGGAACAAACCTCCGCTTAGCTCCACTTCTTCCTCCTTTTTTGTGGGCTGGGGAGAACCCGTTTTGGGCAACCCTCTCCTGGGCAGACGGATGGGTGTTCTGACGATGCTGTGTGTCCTGGAATTTTCACTCAATGTTTCCTTTAACCGTCTCTGATGATGCCCAAACGCTTCGCCCAAACTTGGCGCTGACTTCGAGAAGTGCTGTGTAGCCCTCATGCCCTGCTCTCCTAGGCTGTGCCAGGGCAAGCAGCACCGGAACGGGCTTGGTGGAAGGATGGGATGGAGAAAATCGCGGGCTGCCTTTTCCTAACATGTTGATAGTATGTTGAGCTCCACTCAATGGCTAATGGACTCACAAGGAAATGATCAGGGCTGTAGCCACGCTTCTATCCAAGATATCCATTCTGTTTCCCATCCGCCAGCAGCTAGCCTGTGTTCTATGGCCACTGAGAACTGGGCTCTTTAAATATCCATATAAACCCCTATCGGTCTTTACATTTTACTTATTTGAAGAGTCAAGTTCACGGAACACTTTAAGCAGTTGAGAATGAAGCTTTTACTTTCTTTCACCAACCGCAAGCCAGTCCCGTTAGGGCTGTTGGCCTATCCGTCTTTACACTGGCGCTGAGTTGAATCTACATAGTTAAATTTAACTGCTGGAACTTTTAGTCTGTAAGCCAAAGGCTCTTTAATTAGCTTAAAGCTTCAGAGTTCCTTTTCCCACCTGCTTTTCAGCCACTGCCCCCCACTGAAGC